GGGGTGTTTCACTGTTCATAATATAAATATGCATGCATTTCAGGCACCATTTGTTACTTCTCTTTTTATACATTACTTGCTCAGTGCCTGTAATTATCTACACAAAACCCCATGTTTGCTTTAACAAACACTCAGATTCAATGAGATTTTAGGTTAGGCAGGGCGACCTTGGTGAATCTGAGTTCCACTGCATAAAAAGACACTGAGATTTGTTTGTTCGAGTAAAGAGAACACATAGACACAATAAGTTATTTACTGCTGGGGAAAAAGTAAGACAGACAGAAACAAAAGAGGCAAGCAAAGAAGCAAGACCCACCAGTGGCACCCTCCAACCACCTAGACTATTGAAAAGAAATACAGGGATTAAAAAATGACCTGACCAACGTAGGCTGAGTCAGTGACAGGCCAACACACTACACAGTGGAACACAGGCCCTCATACTGCTGGCCGGAACCACGTTATTGGCAGTAGTTTGTGTCATACCTGGCACATTAATGTTATAAATAATGTTAACACAGCTAAAGCATTTATCTTTCAACTACATTTTATAGACAGTTCCAAGCTGAATGTCCCCACTTTAAACAATCAGTAAATGTTACCACTAGCTTGGAATAGCACCCCCATTCTTTTCTCAGACATCATTCCCATCAGAATTCCTCAAGTCACTGCACCACCCCCTAATAAGACAATAAGCCTGTCTCTGCACCACTGGGTGTTGAGTCCCCGACTGTGTATGTGCTAAACCCCTTTGACACAATTAAGATCATTTAGAGGTTTTAATCCATTCTGTTTTAACCCTGACAAGGACTTGGTAGGATACAGCATCCCTGCATGTGGACTGAGATAACTCCCCACGCAGGAAGCAAAGTAGCAACTGCATACAACTGCTACAAGTGAAAAAAATGTTTAATTCTAATTATACCACAGACGCAGAGTACACCATCACAGTGTAACTCCAACTATCCAGCCCTTTTTTTTTGGAGCCAGCAGTCTTTTTTCCCTGCAACTACATTCATCCATGGATTCAATACCACAAATTCCACTGACTGCATCTGAGAATTACTTCTACTCCAACATTGATTTCCATCCTTAAGGCAAATAAATTAAACATGCAGACCTTCAAACGAACCCCCTCCCCCCAAAAAAAACAAACTGTGGCCAAGACCTCAGCTTGAGCAACCTGTGTTCTCACATTTTGTGTGCTCACTCCAATAGTACAGAACAAAATAGATTGCATAAATTCCATAAATTCCATAAAAAGATTGTTATCAGATCGATACTAAACAAAGTATAGTGCAGTGTGGTTTACAAGAAGAAAGGGAAAAGGACGAGGGATGAAAAAATGCAATAGAACAACAAAAATGTAACGTTCAATTACACACTTTTCAACAGTTCAGCTTTCTTTCATCGCATGACAGTAAAAAGAGAAAAAGTAGAAAGTCATAATGAATGTTCAGGTAGAGAGCTGAAGAGGTTCAACAAAAAGAAATATAACAATTACTTGTGCTGGACAATATCTAACACTTTCTGAAGCAGAACAGAATGTCTATGGTTGTCGTTATTAGCTTCCCTCTTCACCAACACACTCAAAGGCTTCGTCCTTGCTCCACTGTGAATATTTTCATCTTCTACCTCACTCGAGTCTGAAACATCATCGTTGCTGTCACAGTCTTCATTATCATGTTTTCCACCAGTCAGGTCTGAGGAGGAGTCCATATCACAACCCAAAGTCCCCTGATCAACAGAAACATTGAGGTCTGAATTGCTCCCTAATTCCAACGCCGAATTGTCTAGAATTTTGCTGTGATCAATCATGCACTCCTTGAGGTCATTCAATGAATCAGACTCTGTTTTCAGGTCCAGCGACTGTTCGTCTGAAGACATTGGCTGAATCAGCTGTATGGGTTGGAGATGTGAGAACCCATGCTCTCCACTGTTCACAAAAATTTCCCCACCATGGATGACCAGGTGTCCGTCCCCTGCCACCACCATGTCTCCACTTTGCCTGAGCACCAGCTGACCATCGGGAGTGATGACCACTTCTTCTGGTTGTCCGTCAGCGCTCAAGACAACTTCATGAGTCGTCACGACTTCTTCCTCTGTCACTTCTTGGTTCTGCCCGACCACCAAGTCCTCTGTAAACACCACCTCCTCCAGACTCTGTAAGAAAGACGACAAAATGGTTAAGCTCTATAGTAATAGGATTAAAACATCCTCTTTGTTCATTGTAAAAATGGAGCTACTTATCATCAACAGCAATACTTTATACTAAGCCCAGAAAGCACTATTGATAGAGAAATTATACTTTGTATTTCACTCCCTGCGCGAATCCGACTAAATTTGATGCAATGATTATGAAAATGCTATTAAATTATCTTCAGGCAGGCCTTGGTCAATATAATAAACCATTAAAAAAAAATTAAATTAAGTCACCCAGAGAAACCCTAAAGGACCCCCCCCCCCCCCCCAGCAATAATATCAGGCGTCGCCAGATATTAGCCCAATAACGTACAGGCCAGCGAATGCCTGTGGGGCTTAAATTATTAAGTATTAAGTGAGACAAGTGTTAAAAAAGTGATAGATCGAGGGAATGGAGGTTATAACTCTTCACTCCATTATCTAGTGATCGGTAAATAAGTTGACTTGATGTTGGGCAGTTGGTGTTAGTGTATTTAACAAAGGATATGAAAACAAAAAACCTCGTACCACCTGCCCCGCAAACTTCATGCTTGTCCAAGGGTAGGCAGTATAAAATACAGGGTTTGTCTATTTTCTTTTTTTTCCCAACACTTAGAATTTGAACTGCAACAAAAGTACTCTTGAGCAAAACGTAACTGATACAATTAAAAAACTGCAATTTTTTTTAATTAAAAAATTTGGGCTTGGTACATCTGAACAGCTGGCTGACATTGAGACACTAATGTTGTACTCACACACTGACTGATATAAACCACGACTTATAGTTTACGAATGACAAAAATGAAATTCCACAATTTTTCTCCCTTCCCTTCCCTGAAATCAAACTAAATAAATTTAAGGACATAAAGTAGAACCCCCTAGATCTAAACTTGAAAAAAAAAAAAAAAAAAAAAAAAAACACCTGGGGCTTTAGTCTTGTCTCAACATAATAAGCCTAGTTACCAAGGACAGCTCAGTAATAGGCAACAAGACATGATCTGTAAGTAATTCAGATTTCATAGGGTGTAAACTTAAGCACGTCTCACAAAATGAGCAGGATCGATGGATATATAATAATGGTATCCATATTACATGTATTCACACTCTCTCTGTTCAACATCTTGGTTCAATTTGCATTCCAAGATTATATTATATTATGAATTGCTCTCCCCCTTCTCCTGATCTTTCCTTTCGAAACAATAGAAACATTCATTCATTTCATTCAAGGTGGGTAGTAAAGACTTTGCCTGGATACATTTTTCTGAGTGTGCTGAAAAAAAATACAAAGAAGCATTTCAAAAGGCCATTGGCTGCTTTCTTGTGTAAAGATGATTACGCTTGTTGTGGGGGCAACCATGCCCAGCATAGGTTCAGTTACATCATCCTGTATGTAATTGTAATCACTTTAGGAGTTTCTATGTCATTTAAGAATATGTGGACTTGACAGTACAATTTTTCTGCACCGTTAATTAAACAAGCACTTTGAAAAAATAATTACAAGATGTACTAGAACAAGAAAATACAGCCACTGACAATACTGTCAGAAGAAAAATGTTTTAAATGTTGGGCTCAGCACTTTCTTTGTGGTGCGACAGTTACAATGTGTTTAGGTTTAAACAGTAAAACAAAACTTCATCTGCTGCTTTATAACCCAATTAAAATTTTGAGAGGACACACAATTTTCTCTTGATAAATCTCCCCCAAAGTTCAATGCAAAAATAAATTTAACAGAGGACATCTTTTCACTTCTCCATCTAACAAAGAAATTGTGTGGCAAAGGACAAAGGATCAAGTTTCAAACAGGGCAGAAGAGTTTAGCAAGTACTATCTAAAAGTTACAGCAAGCATTCAAATTCTGAGTACTTCTTTCAGTAAAATCCAGCATGCTGCTGAAATATGTGAGGCAGCGTGGTGAAATCAGGCGCTCATCAAAAAAATGAAATTGAAGAAACTGGCATTTTTCCACTCTTTTGGCAATTTTCCTTGAATATGTTTATCTGCTTAACATCTTTGTGTGGATTTTACTGAAAAATGATTTTAATTAAGGCACACAAAATGCAATTTTGTAGTTAAGGCCAAGGACTCATAAGCTTTGGAAGTTGCTTAACTTTGGTTGCAATTTTCTTGCCAATTTTACTTCTGAAATCCGGCAACCCCCACCTGCTACAATTGCCAATATTTCAGCTTCTAACTTCTATTCAAGACATATATTCGCTGGTGGACTGATGTAAAACTCGTAACTTCAGAAAGGAAAATTTTACAGGAGACAAAAAACTTATGTATACTCTTAAATAAAATGAGCTATGAACCAAAGTTGGTATAGGATAAATGAAAACACCATAGAAATGTGGTTAGTGCACATTTTAAAATTAACTTTTCTACTGTTTATATGGTTATGCAGCGGGATGCGAGGTTTCATTACAATATTTTTGTCGGGATGAAACCTCGTAGTCAGCCAGCGGGAGGGCTGCGAGGTTTCATCTGGACAGAGTTTGAGGCTTGCGAGTCTTCTCGCAGCTCATTTGGTTGCAGTATGCGTCTGTTATTTGGAATGCCACAAACTGATAAAGATATTTCTTCAAGACCAATTGGTTTGGAGTACAATTACCGGCCAATTGAAGTCCAATTAATGTGTGTTACCTGCAGAGTTTAGGTTTGAATCCTCAAACGGATTAGCAATTAGTGCAATTTGTTTCAATATGTGCCAAGATTGGATCTGGTCACTTCCATTTCATTAAAAACCACAAATGAAATATATCTCTGCAATGGTCTCTGGTTGCACTGCAGATGGTTTTCACAAGAGATGTTGAATCATAATTATATAATTAATGGTGTAAATTGTCATAAAGTGATGATGTATTTTGGCATTAAAAGATTTTAAGCTCCTGTAGGTGATTGTACTTGGAGTGCTGGATCTTAAAACATTCTGTGTAGAGTGGTGTGGTAGGATGGACCCCATGTTTCTGTGTTTTCTGCCTTCGGAACGTCAGACCATTTATTACTGATGTACAACTTGAACTGGATGTTCATGCCTGGGATGTACTTCAAACACCTGACAACAGGATCACCTGTTTTTCTACCTGGTCTGATAGCCTAGACTTGTTGTAGCTTCCATACTTAAAAGAATCCTTGAAGAATGTGAGATACTTGAGTTCACACTGTCAACTTCCATTTGTGTGTCCTTTGATAAAATATTTCTGTTCAATTGTGCTACCATGTTTGCAAACAGGCTGAGAGAAACATTGGCTAGTGTGGCATTTCTGTATTGGTAACCACAGCTGTCGCTGTCGATGGTATGGTGGTTTTCTGTTCAAGAACATGGCTAAGTTTAGTACTATTTGTAAGGCAGCGTGGTGGAATCAGGCTTTCTTCAAAATAATCAAAGTGAAGAAACTTGCTTTTTTCCACAGGTTTGTGAATTTTTATCAAACTTTTGTTTTTTGGCTCAACGCCTTTCATGCCCATTAAAGAACTCATTTCTGTGTGGATTTTTCTGAAGAACATTGATTAAAGGTACAAAAAATGTAAATGTTCAGTTACAACGGACTCTTAAGTTTAGGAAATAACTAATCTTTGGCGGCCATTTTCTCACTAACTTTACCCCTGAAAACAGGTGACCCCCCACCTCCTTCATTCGCAAATATCTCGACTTGTATTCAAGATAAATTAATATTTTTTTCATCCCTATGAAGACAAATGAACAAGCATTGAGATGATATCAATAACTCTACATGCCCCAAAATTGATGAGAGCCTGATTCCACCACGCTGCCTCACATTTGGTCTCAACCACAACTGACGGATTCGACTACTCAGCGGATCCATAGTCTGAGGTGTGAAACCTTACCCTCTCTTTGGCCTACAAAATTGCCTCTATTGAGTGCATAGATCTGTCACCTAGTCTTAATAAGGACTACCGTCACCTGTAATTTCAAGGTATGACTGTCGCCTTAAATTAAGTGTTAATAACTTCGTTCGTGTTTGATAAGAACATCTTTGTTTACCAACACGTTAGTCATCCCTAAGAATGGATTTCAAATAGATTTACATAAAGTAAAGTACTTCACTTATATGACTATGAATTTCTGAACAGACTGAAATAAAGTGAAAGAAAAATTTCTTTATTCAGTCAGGTATACAAAATGCACTAGACAATGTCAGTTATGAGCGCTTCAATTTTAAGCTGGTTCATAAAGAAGACTTATCCAGAAACTCCTATAATAAGCACGACACTTTCAAACCAGGAGTGATGAAACCACGAAAAACCAAATCGGCACACCAGGTGAGGGTTGCGAGGTTTCATCACGCCAGGATATCTTGGGGGCAAACATGCGGGGTTTTTTCATCATTTCTCTTACTAATTTAACATAGAGTGCTTTTGACACAATGTGAATAAGAACTGGGAGAAGACATTAAGCATAAAAAAAATGTTCAAAAAAATTGCGGGTTATAAGGTTTCATCACTCCACCAGCGATATATATGGATTTTTTCTTTTTTTTCATCAAATTATAAGACAAACAAACCACCTTTAAGATTATACCAATAACTCCACACTCCCCAAAATTGACAAAAGCCTGATTTGAATGCTTCGTGACACATTTCATTAGATGAAGCATAAAAGTGTACTCACCTCCTGATTACTGTCATCAGATTTAAAGTTATCCTGGTATGATTGTGAATCCATGTCATCTCCACTCTCGTCAGAAGAAACATCTGGGAACACTCCAGCCTTTTTGAACGAATGAATGATGACATGTCTGGTCATTGCACGAAGATATGCTTGACAGGCAAGTTCGCCGATACTGTTTCTGCTGATGCAGGGACCAGCAAGGGATTTCAGGTGACGCCGACATACACTTTCGTATTTTTTCTTGATAGCATCAGCGCATTCTACCTCAAGAGGCTGAAGCAGATGAGTTGTGTGAGCAGGAATGAAAGAAAAAATAACATTGTTCGCCCTGCCCCATTCGCTCATACCGACAAACATGTGAGCTTTCGACCCATCCATGAGCACGAGAATAGGTTCATTGTCAAAGCGTTGAGCCTGAGGCAGAAAATGTTCATTGAGATATCTTCTAAAAATTTGTGGAGAGCATTTGCCAGTTTCAGAAATGGAGGCATTCACATTGCTAGGAACCCTGGTCATCATTTCTGGCCTGAGCTTACTGGCTTGAAATACAAAAAACGGAGCAAGCACACGGCCGGAGACACTGCCACATGCAATCAGTGTTGTGTTGGTCACATTTTCAGTCTTGAACTGGTGTCCACTTTTGCCACTCACAGAATGTTGCATTCGGTGATCAGTTGACAGGCTGATTTCCATAATATTGAAAATTCTGTCACTCTTCTCCAGCAACTTGTACCTGTCGATGATTTTCTTAATCTCATCAAAATACGTCCTGACAGTGTGCTCAGCATCAGTCTTATTCTTGAATTTACAACTGAGTTCCCGAACACTAGGCCATCGGCTGATGAAACTGTCCACCCACTTGGTCGTTAAGCCATTGGAATGGGGTCTTCGTTTACCCTTCTCCACTGCTTGATCTGTTGCTATCTCCGCAAGCTCTTGACGAGTATAGCGGTAGCCATACCTCGCCATTGTGTGCAAGAAGTGCACAATCTCCGACTCCTCTTCCTTTGCCATAAGTAATGGTGGTCCCGGGCGAGTTGTCTCCATACTGATTCTCCCATCTACTCGATCTCGCAATGTCGTTAACGGCACACCATACTGTTTAGCAGCAGCGTTCACGGAAATGCTACTGTCTTTCACAGCCTTAAAGGCTGCAACCAAAGACTCCGGGTCGTACAGCTTCCGTTTTTTTATCATGCGAACTTGAGAAGTGGATGCAACTGGCTGCTTCAACTTTTTTGATGGGGACGGGAGTGAAACAGGGAGTTTCATGGAGGAAGACTTCCTGGATCTGGATGACTTTTTGGACTTTGATTTCTACAGACAGAAAGAAAAACAAAAGGTTAGAACATATATTCACAATTTACATATTATTAACAGCTTTTCAAGGTACAATTCAAAACACAAAATTGTTGACCTGTACCTCATCTGATTCTCATACCTATCACTTTGAGCCCTGACCTGAGGCTACTGTGCCCCATCTGTCTGAGCACCAGGGCGCCTAAACGATACATGCCTTCATTCATATCATTGTAAGAACCACATTCTATATCCCACTCAGGGTCATCCTCGTCATTATCAGCACTGAATGAAGAAAGATCCAGGGTCCCCACCAAATCCTGGAAAATTTTTTCAAGACCCCCAAATTTTTTTCAAGACCCCAATTCGAGGGAAAAATCAGGCCGCTGCACGTCAAGAATGATCCCCCAAAAAGCCAATCTATCAAAGATAAAAAGTCAAAATGTCTATAAATGAATGCAAATGTACATTTTGTAGTATAGTCTTCAAACAATAGATGACTATAATACTGGGTGACTGCCAAACCAGCTTCTCAATTTTCCAAGGGAGGGGCCTCATCCATTTTCCAGGAACACGTTACATAACAATGAAAGCGTGTGCTCCATTTATATCTAATATAATTATAATACATGTATATGTTTGTGAATGAACACACACACACACATCTAGGTACATTATATCCAGTCAACAACATGTCATTGTGGCACTGGGGTCTTGAGAGACTTTGGTATTTCAGTCTGTTCTTACTTATTTATATTTTCCCATCATCATATTAGCCAACATAACAAACTAGAGGCCCTATATATAAAAAAATGAATCCTGTTTTGAGCCTGAAAAAAGACCTAGAATCTAGAACTAGAAAATCGACTGTCAATAACCAGTCTGGGTGTCCTGATTCATATAATAAACGTGAAGACGAAAACCATTGCTGCAACTCAAAGTAGAGAAATAACTAGAATGGCTCAAGTACACCTATTCAGTGTGAGAGGTGCAAGAACTGAGGGGGGGGGGGGGGGCAGCGCAAGATACAGTGACACTGAAAATCTGCCAATCTTGAACAGAAAGCTAATAAAATATAGATATATTTAAATTACAATCATCCCATCCAATGAAACGCGAACACTTTAGTTCAATAACAAGGCATGACGGATCCTGATTCCACACAAGGCCTGCACCAACGCGCGCTTTGCAGAGAGCTCTAGAGTAGTAATCAAAATGCTAAAAATTTGCTTCCAAGTTCAGTTTTTGTCCTCTAGTGTTGCCTTCAGCCCCCCAATCCCCTTCCACGAGTGTATCTTATAAAGGAGTCCTATACTTCACAGCGCTCAGACCGCCGGTACTCACAGGTTCATTGACCGGTCACGAGGGCGAACCTGTCAAGACGCTTGTATAACTTCTTTTTCTTTTTTTTTTCCACAAGCGACAGCAGAGGGCAATTTTTAATATTGATTTATTTTCAAGTCGACACAGCGTTCATAATGCACAACCTGCATGTTATAAATGTTGCGTTATCTATCAGACTATTACCGGAAAAATTCTGGGCGGTAACGAAAGCAGATCTTGATTCTTCCCGATCGAGCCTCGGTGTCACACAAACACTTCCGTCACAGCGGTTCAATTACGTTTCCTCTTTAGGATTCATCAACCATTCAGTCTAGATAGCTGCACATTACACGGGCCCTATACTGTCCCGACTTACCGACCCATCACAAAATTCCCGACTTTTTCCCGACCCATCTCAAAATTCCCGACTTTTTCCCGATTTCCCGACCCTGTGTGGACCCTGAAGATCTTTAAAATAAACTAAAACGTCATGTGTAGTAAACACTGTTTTTCATGAGCACCGGTTTGGGAATAGGGTCTTGCTTACCAGTGTACTGCAATTTTTTTGACACGCCTAAGGCTCAGAGGGTTAAACAACAAAGCTCATGGAATCTGTGACTTTTCACAGAACATTGTCACATAAAAGGGGCTCTCAGGGTCTAAAGGTACGGTGTTCGCCTCTTATTCAAAAGGTCCCTGGTTCTAAACCTCACAGTGACAGAAAATGTTTCTCCTTTCACCTCCTTCCATGTTCTGCTGCTTTCATCTCCATCCCCTGGGCTCTTCTTTATCCCTTTTTCTATTGCTACTCATGGCTCCTTCTTACTGCTGTCTTTCAGTCACATCCCTGTTCTTAGAGTAGGTAAGATCTAAGACCTAGCCTTCTTAAGGGCGAAAAATCTCCGAGGTCTCGGGTGCAAGTTGCGCAACATTAAGATCCCTTGGTGGTCCTAAAATCAACAACAGTAGGCTTCGGCCGCCATGCGGGCAAAATTCAAAATTCCTTCCAAAACTGAAAATATTCTAGCACGTTCAAAAACATAACATATATATTATAGGAGTACCTTTTTAAAATCAGAAATTGACTGTCTGAAGGCAAGGGCCCTATTAAGTTCAGAAAAACGATCACATACATAAAAATCAATTGTACTGCAGGTTGAAGAGGAAGCAATTGACAGCCAGTTGAGATATAGAAGGCAAACGCAAAGAAGAATACATAAATAATCCCCTCTCACAAGTTGATAAGTCATTATAAAAGGTCACACCCATTCAAATACCCTTTAAGATTTAGCAATGCCAATGAAAATTTAATTTTTCGCTTTCGCCCTTTTTTATTTGGTACCTAAGAAAGAATTTTCAATTCTAAGAATTATGCTTCTTGAATTTTAAGAATCGGTTCTTAAATTAAAAAGTTATTGGATTGTAAGGGTCGGCAAAATATGGACGGATGACCCATATATAGGAAAATACTCCTACACAGTGGACCACGCAGTAGCAGATTCTGTAAGATAATCGACGATATCTCAGGAATTAATTGGAGTGTAAGAAAGAAACTTGGCTACCCGATGTGTTTTTGGATGGAGAAATCATTTCTGCCATCAGATTTACTAACCATTTCGTAGTTATTTCGTTATAATTAAAATTCTGGTGTATATATTACGAGTTTGAGAAAAAAGGGTGTCGGGATGAGTCCATTTTATTTATAGCATCATAGCACAACATGGGACCTTTAAGAATATGTTGACAGTGTGACTAAATAATGGCAAAGCTTTCTTTGATGACTTCAGACCATGCCAACCTTAAAAGATAAGCTAATTCAATCTACATTCTAGCAAGCCATACAATTAAAAATTCTTTTACCACGTCGAGATGTGAACACCCCGAGGCGAGCTTATCTCGCCTCAGAATATCCCTATTGTGATGTTACAGGGGAACAGAGAGAAAAACAATAGAATGCACGCACGCGAAAGGCAGTTAAACGAACAAGACGCATCTTTCTGATTGGCTGCTAATTTTAGTAATGTGATGTCATCACTTCCTGGGATACCCACAGACTATTATTTTTAAGAAGGCCGTGGAGGCACCACATGGAATGACGTGTTTTCTGTAACATTTAGGATTTCCTAGATCCAGTACTTGGACATGATGGAAGATCGCTTAGATCTAGATCGTTGATGCTCAGAACAGTAAGATTAAAAACGCTGATGCTTGAAATTGAAACACGGTAAACACAAAGACAATAAACCACATGAAAATTGCCGTAAAGACGCTGGAGGATTAGATCTAGATCTACCACCCCCCCCCCCCCCCCCCTCTCCTGCATTCTTCATCACTAATATACATTTTTTTTAAACAACTAAAAAGCAACTAATTATAATTTATGGGACAAACAGTTGGTCAGTCGGGAGGAGAAGAGAAAAAAACAAACAACTGTCCGGGACTGGGATCAAACCACTCATAAAATAATTGCATGACTTCAAACACAGACACGCTGTCCATTCAACTATCAGAACTTCCAACGGCGAGAGGTAGTTTAAGCTTGATATATTATAGACACTTCCATCTGTGGTGCCATGCGGTTGGCTATACTTAGATGTAGTCACGTGATTGGAGGGGTATCCTGAACAAGGAGCTAACGAGAGCACACTGCTCCGGCTTCTGATTGGCTGCATATAGTGACGTATGTACACATATATGAGCCATTGCCAAAACGTGGGGAAAAACACATACATCTCACATTAGTGTGCATAAAATGTGATCCATTAGTACTTATTCCCCAAAAACTTATACACATGTCAAAAGGATGTAGAACCTGAATTAGCAGGTTCAGACCGCGTGTCAGCTTTACAATCTTGAGTTTGTAAATTTTGTGCCAAAAATGTTCGGTTTTTTTGTGATTCCTGAACTGTCATTTTGAGCACACCAATGCAAACTTCCAAGAATGTCCAAAACATAGTATTTTTGGGTGTTTTATTTTTAACGTGTGCTTTGATCCTATACTATTTGTCATTGAGAAAGATTCACTTGCTCAAGAAATCGGTTTACTTGTTTGCAAATAAACGAATAATTCGGATCACTTGTGTGTTCCTCGTGTTGTCACGGACTAGGTGTTTCAGAAAACAGTGTTTCAGAAAACACCATTATTTTTTGGTAGAATCACCAGACCTGGTTAAATCTTTTTTGCTTTTCGTTGTTTATTCAATACTTCAAAAGCTGTGATGCGCGAAAGGAACATCGGGTTCCAAGATCTACGATTTCGGTCGGCTGTTTAACATTTGCCGTGATCGTCGTCACCTTGCGACGTACCGGAAGTCTGAACTTTAGCCTACTTTTGTTTTGAACGGATCATCAACAGTGCCCGGATATAATTGTTTTCTCGAGTGACTTCCCCTTACCCGCTTCCCCAGAACAGCGTAAGCAAAGGCTGAAAGAGAAAAACGAAAGTAGTCATTACCGTCAGCGTCCGGTGACGCACAAGAATCTTATGTTGAATGTGACGTACAGGACTGTTTTGCGTGTTTTTAGGCTACCCTATTTTAGTGAAATTGCAGTGTTTACATTGGATTCCTATAACAATAATGTGAAATGTGAACAAACTTCGAGAGATGGGTCATTTCTGTGGTTATAGATTTAGCGTTTGTGATTAGTGATGACGTTTGGGGTGTCGTCATGCAGCCGTACAAGACTGACTGACG